TTAGCACAGAAAATACCACAGTATGGTCTGATGTTCAGAACAACTTCTTCATAGAAACAGGCACACACACAAAAAGTAAAAAGTCGGCAGTGTGTCAAGAATAGAAATAGAATTTGTCATCTGTGGGTGGCCACGTGGCTCTAGAGTTAGATATCTGCTGCAACACGAAGAGCCATGCATGCAACCTGTCAGTCAACAGTTCGCTTTAGTCACGCAAGCTCTCTCATTTAAAAGTTCATACTGCTGTGCTAACTGCTATGAGATGGAACCAGGGCCTGCCAGCATATACTGCTTCTCCATTCCTTTTTCTTTCTAGTCAACCATCACCTGCCAGGGCCCACCCTGCTAAAGCGCCGAAGCTCAGGATGCACCGAGGGCTGAAGGTAGGGAGCACAACAGTGAGCGCAAAGGAGAGCTGAGAAACGATGTTTCTGTTCCCAGTTAACACTGCAAAAACGCTTGCCCGGCACCTGTAGGTGACGAGTGACAATACTTATCCTGAGCTTTTAAAACTTTAAAAAAAAATTCCTACATTTTCTGTGTCTTTATCTGCCAGATTTTAAGTACACACCCAGGAAGGATTCAGATAGTCAAATGCTTCAAGAAGCTTTTTAAAAAATATATTTTTATTGATTTCAGAGAGAAAGGGAGAGGGAGAGAGATAGAAACATCAACGATGAGAGAGAATCATTGATCAGCTGCCTCCTGCACACCTTCCACAACCCTGGCATGTGCCCTGGCCAGGAATCCAACCGTGACCTCCTGGATCATAGGTCGACATTCAACCACTGAGCCACACCAGACAGGCAAGAAGCTTTTTTCTCTGTTTAGTGATAGTTCACTCATGCCACTCAAATTGAGAAAATTCATTAATTAAGAATACACCCTCTTAGAGTTCAACATTTTTTTGTAAAAACGTGTCTTATCTGTATATTTTAATTTTAATTTATTTTACCTTATGGTAATGTGTAAGGGGTTGGCCCTTCAGTGTTTTTTTATAGTCAACAATAAACATTTATTCATTCTGTAGAATTTCACCACTTGTTTATCTGTTGAACTACATTTCCTTTTAAAGGCTCTGTAGTGAAAAAAGAATATATAAAATCTAAGATTAAAGAGTGATGGAATTGCAAAAAAAAACAAAACACAACAACAACAAAAAGCCCTTCATGGCTCAGGAAATCCCAGCATGCCTGCTTTGTTGTTTGTCTCCAAAGTGAACGAGGTTTGTGAAAAGACAATCAGAATTGTCCTTTTGTTCCAAGGGGCTATACAGGAAAGAAACAGGAAATCTTGATGAAAGCTTGGGCTTTACAGGATATTTATGTGAGTTTTATCCCATGTGTCTGATGTTTCTCTCTACACATCTGCACACTTTATGCCTGCATTTTGGCTAAAATATTTTTAAATACCACTTTGCTTTTTTCACTTCATTATAATTCCTGGCATGATGCTTTCTATAGGGGAGGGGCACAAAAATTAAGACTGAATAAAGAAACATAGGCCCAGAAGGCACAAGTCATTCATTTCTCTGGATGTCAATTTCCTCATAAAATGTGAGGATAAAACCGGATGAGTGCTTCTAAAACTTTTCCACCAAAGCACCCCAGCAGCGGTGAAAATGAATGGTACCCCCCTGGGGGATCTGAGGGCAAGCTGGAAGTTTCTTTGAAATGCCCTATTTTATCTGAAAAATTCATGAGAACTTTGCATTTTACAAAACAGGAAAGTCTATGTTTGTTTTAAAAAGAATGTTACCTCAATAGTAAAACTATTTGCTTTCCCACAAATAATCATGTGAATGCCACCCTCCAGGAAAGGAATGCAGCTTCACATCACTGGGCACTGGCTCACCGCCCCAGGGACCAGCACCCATATGAGAAGCCTGGGGGATCGGCATCTCAATACCCCTGCAGTGGGAAATGCTATGACCATTTACGATTTGACCACTTCAGATTTTCAGATTTTAGAGAAAAGGAAGACTAGATAACAGAAAAGTGGTCACACGTGCACTTGACCGGCAGCTGAGAAGGTCGTGGGAAGCCCGGAGAGAAGACAGTCCACCTGGAAAGGTGGCCAGTAGGGAGTCGGTGGTGCAATGAGCGATGTCTGCATCTGTCAGACATGCACAGGGGCTGAGGTCTGGTCAGGCAAAGGCCCAGAATGTGAACGTTGTTGACCCTGGCATAGGACGTCACCTTCAATGTGCACATCCCTCCACAACACTCCGGCTGCTACTTCCACACTCAGGTGGGGAAACCTACTTGCTCATGGGCCAAATAACTCCACTAGAAATACTCCTCACAGTCCATCTGCACACCTGCTCAGCCTCTGCTTCCTAGACGCATGAGTGAAGATGAAGAGCCTGGTTCCGGTTCAGGTTCAGGTTCCACCATCTATTTATTGTGCGGGACCCTGGGCTGGTTACTAACCGGACGTGCTCCAGTTTCTACACTAGAATATGGAGACAATAGATAGCGGCACCTGCTCCACAGACTACTGTGCGATGGGAAGTGCTCAGGTCGTAGAGAGCATGTAGAAACGGTACCTGGCACAGATAAGGAAGGTCCTACTGACTGTTAGCTGTTATGATTACTATACACAGCCCAAATGTAACACCTTCCTCAATTACAGGCTTGAATTTAAAAACAAGTATGCAATTCTCCTTAGTCTTGTCTTCTCTTGGCTAAATATCCTATTTCTTTAAATTTTCCCCTGGCATAGTTTCAAACCTTTCTAGATGGTGGAGCAATCCTTTGAACATGTCTGAGTCAGTGTCCTATGTAAAATGGACAACCAGAACTGATTTCTTTTTCATATGACCTGATATATATATATATGGGTTATGTTATTTCTGGGACATTGTCGGCCCCCAATCTGGTTTACTGCACACTTGCATTTGCATTCCATACCCTCTACGACAGCAACTTTGCAGAGTGCCCTCTCACATTCCGGGATCCCTCAGGGGATGTCAGAGAGCCAGTTTTGGACCGAGGGACCCCGCTCACTCCACAGACGCCCTTCAAGCCACAGCTCACCCCAGGTGCGGCCGGCCAGGAGGGACTATGGGAGATTGGCTCCAGGGCGTGTCCGGCCTGCCTTGCCCAATCCTGCCCCACTAGCCACCTTCTAATTAATTTCCTTTCAATGTGCATGAATCTGTGCACCAGGTCACTAGTATATTACTAATATCCTGGACACCATGTCTCTCACCTCTTTTATCCCACTGTCCCAGGTGTTTATGTCTTCTTTGTCACCCCCACCTTACACCACTCACATCCCTTACACCTTCCCCTCCACATACTTTCTGCAGATGATCTTCTAAACTGAAGCATGGGATTTTATATTCAACCCCAATAAATTTCATCTTCTTAATTTCAGCTGTTTAAACTCCAAGAAGGAAACTTTACTTCTGTGTCATCATCCAGTGACTGACACATGTAGAAATCCCACCTCAAGTGGATACTAGTCATTCAGAGATGGCCCTTCAAACACACCTAACCACAGCCATGTACCAACATCTAAACCCTATTCTTATATTTCCTTCATGAAGAACCTTGTCAGGTGGCTCAGTGAGATCCAGATATAGTACATCTATTCCTCTTTCCCCTTCCATCAGCCTGGCCCCTCTGATCAAAGAAGGAAATTAGCTTAATTGGCTTCATTTTAAAAATACATATTTTTTTATTATTTCAGAGAGGAAGGGAGAGTGAGAGATAGAAACATCAATGATGAAAGAATAATTGATAAGCTGCCCCCTATACGCCCTCTACTGGGAATTGAGCCCACAACCTGGGCATATGCCCTGACCAGGAATCAAACCATGACCTCCTGGTTCATAGGCCAACGCCCAACCACTGAGCCACATCAGCTGGACACTAATCAGCTTCATTTTTAAAGGACGTGTGCTGGCTTGTAGGGACCACTACCACAGGCCTATCCTTTCTCCTGATAAACTTTCACAGTAAAAATAAAACAAACCTTAACATTGGGGAATACTGTTGCAGTTAACAGAATTTTCTGCTAAAAAAAAAGTTTTTAAGTTTTGTATATTATCATATGGACAAATATGTTTCTAAAATCTACTAGCTCACACTCCTGCCTTTATGTCTTCTGAGTTACTTTCTGCCTGGAGTCTTCATTCTCAACATCGATTCGAATGCACAGGCCTCCGGACACAGGAAGGATAAAAATGGGTGCACTCTGCACTGACCTGAGCGATCCCAGGGTGGGTTTTTTAAATTCCTGTTATACATTTGTGTAACATTTATATCATTTATCTCTTTCTCATGAAAATTAAATACAGAAAATTGAGGCAATAGGGTCTAATTTCTATTAATAGTAGAAATTATTTAAGGAATTGATTTTCCTTATTATTTTTGACCAAGACTATAAAAGACAACAGTTTGGTAGATTTTTAAGTTTATCATTCTGAGAAAAGCCTTTGAAGCTTAACATTCTTTAAAACAAATTTATATGCATGCATCTGTACACTAAAAAGCAACTGTCACACTAAAAAGGAGCTGATACTGTCACACTATGGAAAGTGGGAGGTATAGAAAAAAATCATCCATGATTCCATCATCTGACAAATAATTAACATCATTGTTTAAATACTTCTGTCTGATTTCCAAGGTTGAGGATAACTGGGCTAGAAGGTATAAACATTTCTTATAACTCTTGAAGGGTACAACCAAAATCCTTCCCAAAAGGCTGCATAATTTATAATGCCACTAGCAACTTATGAAAAGGCCAATTTTTCTAAACTTTTGCCAACTTTCGATGGTACACTGTCAATTCTAATTTGAATTTTTATTAACACTAAGGCTGAAGATGTTTCTGGATTTCATTGAAACAAATATTTTAAATATTTCATATATATTGGTAATAATGTTCTAGTAATATTTTCACGCACAGCGATTTTGTGATATAAAGAGGTATTTAGAAGAGTTTATACATGCCTTAAGAATTAAATGGCATCACCAAAATGAAGGACCTACCTGCTGTTCATATCTTTGCTTGACATCCTCCATCTGCCATAAAAACTCCTTTGATTGTTTCTCACGAAGAGACTTAGATCTAGTTAGATCTGCTTCCACTTTTTCCATCTACAAAATTAAAAAATCAAACATCAAATTTTGAAAAATTTATATTCCATGTTTTTATTTGTCCATTCACTAAAATGACAAATTTTAAATACCTCACCAATCATAATGATGTATTTAAAGATGATAAAATAATAAAAGATATACCTGTTATTTTGGTATATTTTAATTGTTTAAGTCAAGAAAATAAAAAGTTAATATGTAATTGACTAAGTTCTATGATTGTTGGCCCATAGATAATCAGTATTGTGATAAAAAATGAATTTACTAAGAAGTTGTTTAAGGAAGCACAGTCAAGCCCACTTCATTTTTGTTGGTTTCTAACTCAAGATGTGGGTTACAAGGCTCTCCTTCAGTGCTTTTCACATTAAACCTCAAGCAGGTGGTTTTTTAATTTGGCCTCGGAAATCTACCCTCCCTACACTCCAATAACGTCGGCGTTTCCCAAACAATCCATGGCAATCTTGGATCTCCCACTATCAGGCGTGTCCCTTCAAGCGTTTCCTCTTCCAAACAGTCCATCTTGAAAGCTGACTCATGTCTCTTCTCCTCTCTGAGGTTTCTATAATCCTTCCAACTGATAGGAGTGTGTCGTCCTCTCAGGGCTCCAGGACCTGACATCTGTATTTCTCTAGGACACTGTTTTTCTCTGTACTATGGAAATGCTTCAAAGGTTTGAGCTTCGTTTACTCATTAGATCCTGTGCTCCCTCCCTAGTAAAAGGAACTAGGATATAATTCTTTGTCTTGAATCTTAATTATTAACTAATTGCCTTGTTATGCTGTATTCAATTCTTAAGGATGAATGAAAGGGCAGGCAAAAGCAAGAGGGAAAGAAAAAAGAGAAGATAAATCAAGGTGGGAAGACATGGTTTATTTAGTACTTTTAAGAGAGATCTTTATATGAAATTGAGTTTTGGTTCTTATGTTTCTTCAGCACAGATTGAATAGTAAAATAAATAATAAATATTTAAATATTCCAAATATTAAATACTTAAAAATGAAGAGTTTTCTATACTCAAAGTTGGTACAATAGAATATCTTCTATTAAAAAAACAGAATTATCTTATATAATAAAAGGCTAATATGCAAATTGTCCCCTTGACTGGGAGTTCAACTGGGAGTTGAACCAGGGGGCAGGGCCAGCCGACCAACTGCCTGCAGCCCCTCCCCCTGGCTGGCCCCACTCCCGATCGGCCCCTCCAAACCCCAATCGGGATGGGCCAGCCAGACCCTGCCCACGCACGGATTCGTGCACTGGGCCTCTAGTCTTCTATAATCAAAATAGCAAACAATTGAAAGCACCCGAAAAGACTTTTTATACCTAAACATTAAGAAAAATTCAAAATAAATAACTGATATTATAAGGTAATGAAATGTGTTATTTTAGGTTATACTGACCGAGAATGCAAGAGCCCACTCCATTCTTATTCTACCATTTAACAAAATAATAAAAAAAACAATTCTTGTAAAATACTCAAAGCTGTATAGAAACACAGAGTTCTCAGTTGCCATAGATACAAGAGATTCTGTGTTATCATACATCATTCCATATTCCATTCAACTTCCAAGTGTTTAAAACAAATAACACCACACTCCTTTTATTGTGTAACTCTGGCTTCCAAAAACCTCAGAGTAAAACGTGGTGGTCAAATTAGGAGCAGCAAAGGGCTTGGATGCATTTCTGTGAATGGCTGGTGTTTAAAACAACAAGGTAAAGAGGGTGCTGCAGTTTCCTTATAGGGTGACTCAGGCATTAATTTAGCTACATGTAAAAGAACGCCTAAGTGTCCACAGCTTAAACAACACAGGCCCTTTATGTGTTCCTCACGTAACAAAAAGTTCAAAAATAGGCTGCTATATTGGCAGTTCAAAGATGTCAGGGTTAAGGTCTCTGCCATCCAAACTTCCCGTAATGACTGTGAAATGTTTCTGCAGCTCTGAACATCTGGGAAGGAAAGGGCAGAGGGGGAAGGGGACGGGATAGGGCCGAGGGCCCCTATCAGCTGAGTCAAATACCCTTTTAAGGGCTTTGCTGCAGAACCTGTCAGTAGCAAATTAATGATGCCGTTTGCATCTGATTCACTGGAACAATATTAATAAAAGGCAAGCTCCATCTACAAGGTCAGAGACTGCTGTTTTAAAGCTGTGTCTAATGTTGCCCTAAAAGTACAAATGAATATTGGGCCAACATCTGGCAGTCTGTCGAATATAGTAATAATAAGTTATTGCTCTTTCTCTAGTACAGTATCCATGTTATTATATTCTGAGTAACTTGACATATACAATTTATATTATACAAATACTAATATACAATTGTATACAAATCCAAAATATATTTTCATGCATTTAATACATATTTAGATAAATTATAAGAAACTGCCCTTCAAATATTTCCAGATATATGTAGAGATAGGTAGATAGGTATGTAGGTAGGTAGGTGGGTAGGTGGGTAAGTAGATAGGCTAGCAGAAAGATCATTATTTCTGTGTTTTAAAGACTGAAATCTAATATCCTTAACAGGGAAAATCAATGAACACAATAATCAATTATATCTAGAGTTCTTTTGTGAGAGATCATTAATTTATATAAGACTGCCAATATGTCTAAGGCCTGCCCTTTTGTTATTGATTTGTAGCACTTTTAACTATTCTGGATGTGAACTTCTTGTTCAATATCTGGATTGCAAATATCCTCTCCCACTCTGAGGTTGCCTTTTTATGTTCTACTGGTCTCCTGTTTTTTAATGAATTTACATTTAACAATATTATTTTTATGTCTTTCTGTTTTCTATTTTGAAAATCCTTGCCTAGTAGTTCCAATTATCAAAAATGCTCTTGCATTTCCTTCTGCAAGTTTTATTGTTTTACCTATCTCTGTATAACTACAATCCTAGAATTCATTCTGTGAATGGAGTGAGATAAGGGGCAAGATCCCCATATTTCCATGTGGCCATCCAATCGACAGTTTATTAAGTGATCATTCTTTCCCTGATGCACCGCAATACTTTCTTTGACAGGAATCAGACTGATCATAGATGTGTCTGTTTTTGGTTTTTTTTCTTCTGTAACAGTGGTCACCCTCCTGCCCAAACCACACTGCATTCATTACTATCGCTTACTTAGTCTCGGGACCTGGTGTGTAAGCTCTCCCAGACTGCCACAGCTGTACTTAGGCCTGTGCATTTTCATACACATTGTATTTATTTTTTTTATTTTTGTTAAAGGCATCTTTTTATTGTTGCTTCAGTACTAGCGAGCGGAATAAATATATAAGGGAGGACTCTGCAGCTGGTTCTGTACGAAAGTGTGCACAGTGAGAGGAAACCAACAGTCACATACAGAGAGCACCAGCTTTTCCTCCAAGAGCTAGAGCTACTCTTACAGCTAAACTGTAGCTATAAGAAAGCTTAGCCCCTTTTCACCCTCCCAGCGCCAGCCTCACCCTCACAGGCAAGTGTATTTCCTCATGAACTGTCCTCCCCATTTGGGGGTTTTGATTC